TATGAGTAATAATACATTGCAAAGAAGAAATAGTTAAAAACATGCTAAGAAAATAAGTCATATCACCTATGTGAGGAAACAGTAACACCACCAATAGAATAGAAAGAGATTTATGTGACATGCTGTTCAAAAAATGGAGTTTTTTATGTTTTAGCTCACCTGAACAGCCAGATGAATCCTAAGTAGTTTAAAGGAAGACAAGAGAAGAAAAAAGGGAAAAGAAAAAAGGAAGGGGGACATCTGGAGGTATAGGTTTCTAGAGACAGACACATACAGCAAATTGCACTCTAGTAGATACAATACATGGACTATGATATGTATCTTAGAGAGATGATGAGAAAAAGAAATCACTGAGCTTACTGTTTCTCTATGTCCCTCTCTGGTTAGCACTGAATACTGTTGGTGTCTGTATTTAATCCTAGAGCATACAATCCATCTTTGAACGCAGAGATGCCTTTTTTGCTGTCCTCAGGTAAAACTGAAAAATGTTGATGCTGTCTTGGAAGTTCCAGTGTGATTTTATTAAAAAGGCTGGCCTATTTAACCACCATACATTCAGGATAAAGAAAGTAGGCAAAATAAAATCTAAGTTCTTTAATCTCAGATATTTAACAGCAAAAGCTTTCTGCAAGTGAGACTGGGTGAGAAGGAATCTCTCAAATAAAGCACAGCTGCTAAGCCTGGTATTGACCTGCATAGAGACAATAGAAAACACACTTCAAGAGACTATTTTTCCTTGGCATTTAAATGGGTGAGCTGCGTCTAATGGGTCTCTTTCATTACTGTTAGTTGTCTTCAACTAAGCAAATATAGAAAAGGCTTTTATGTTTTTAAAAGGATAATAATTTAAAGGCAAAGAAAATTCAGGAGAAGCACACTTTTTTTCCCTCCTCTTGTAGCTTCTAGACAGTAGCATAAAAAAGAAGCATTACTATTTTGAACTAAAGGAAAGAATATGAGAATTTTACCCAAGGATAAAAATGCAAGGAAAAACCTTCATTTTACCATTAATAATAAAATGCTAGAGAGAGCTTTGCCATTGGGATTTGTTGGTCAAACAATAAATCTGAAGCAACTTACTAAATGAGTTCTCTAGGGGGCCCTCTCTAGATTCAGTACTTTAGTGCTAACAAGACTACTACAGTAAACTTTCAATTGATATTCATTACATTACATTTCTGCAATGATTTTTCTGGCCTTTTCAAATGACAGGACTAAAATTGTTGTGTGTGTAGGGTTTCAGTATAAAAAAAAAAAAGCTATTTGACAAAACAAATGGTAGCATTACAGAGCCAAATTCTCCTCTTATTCACAGAAAACCTTGTTCCTATAACTCAGAGCAAAATTTAGCCTTTAGTTTGGCTTTACGCATTCAAAATTCTGTCTCTAACAAGTTACATACTTGTAAGATATGAATTTTGCTTGATTAGGGGTAAATAAGGATATAGATCAACAAGAGCATTTCCTATAACACCTTTGGGAGAGTGCTATTAAAATCTTCTACAAATGTGAATTAATTTCACCTCACAGCCCTGTGCAGCAGAGAAAGAACTTGCCACTGAGAGGCTATAACACAAATAAATACCTCCTTTAAGCAGGTCTGCTAGAAGTGCAAACCAGTAAAGGTTGTGTCTGAAATTGAGAAATGCTAGGCTTTTGGACCTGTAATCATGAGGAAAATTCAAGGTGTATCAAGTTCAAAGAAGAACACCTGTACTTGAAATCCAAAGCTATGTTAGAAAAAGTCAGCTATGTCAGATTTGGCCCAGGTCACACATCATGGGCTTTGCAGTATGAGAGGAAAAAACCATTCTGTCCTGATTATGAGTCTCTAACACTTACATACAATTTTGGAAAACTGTAATCAAACATTTAAGGAAGAACAACACCACAGTTCATTAGTGGCTTCAAAACATTTATCCTTGATGCAGAACACAAAATCTTAAATGCATTTACTTTTGGGGAGAGGGAAAAAAAACCAAAGAAAGAACTAAAAGATGATTTTATTGGATGTATTTTGAAAGGAAACTGACAGAGCTGAGTATCAGAATTGTAAGGATCTTCACAGCACCTACCTAAACACAGAAACGTCTTTCACAGAGCAGGTAACCCTGTCAAGGAAAAATTAAATACACCTTCAGGAGCTGAAGATGAAAGAGGAAAAGCTTAGCAATAAATAGTGGTATCTTTTAAGTTAGACGGGGCAGACACCAGTGTTTATTCTGCCTTTACACAGCACTAGCTTCACTGAGATACAGGTACCAGGAAGACCAGCAGCCCACCACATGATTTGTATGGAAAAATGACAATGCAAACATTTTAGGAGATACCTAAATAGAAAGCTAATACAATTAGTGGCCATGAGTAATGATGCGATGACTATTACAAGGCACTTTTGGGTGAGCTGAGCCAAGTCCATGACTTTTGCCCATGGAAGTGTTCTGGTTCCATGTCCATTCATTTTCCATTGACCATTCTGGCAACCTTGGCTGCCCACTGAGCTTGCACCACAGCCAGTTCTATTTCTGACCACAAAGTGATCAGAATATGCAGCATGCTGAATGGCCAGGTCTTTGTTACCCTTGCTGTGAGTTTAGGGTCCTAAGCTGTTCCTGAAGTGCATTTGGACACTCACAAGTTTATGGGACTAGATGGGATTCATCCAGGGGAGCTGGAGCTGAGGGAGCTGGCAGAAGAGCTTACTAAGCTGCTCTCCATCATTTATTATCAGTACTCAAGGAGCTGAGATTTTTTTAGCCCAGAGAAAAGGAGGCTCAGGGGGGTGACCTTATTCCTCTCTACAACTACCTGAAAGAAGGGTGTAGCCAGGTGGCAGTCGGTCTCTTCTCCCAGTGACAGGATGAGAGGACATAGCTGGAAGGTGCGCCAGGGGAGGTTCAGGTTGGACACCAGGTGGAATTTCTTCACGGAAAGGGTTGTTAAACATTGGAACAGGCTGCCTAGGGAGGTGGTGGAGTCACCGTTCCTGGAGGTGTTCAAGAAACGACTGGACGTGGCGCTTAAGTAACACGGTGTAGTTGACAGGGTGGTGTTTGGTCACATGTTGGACTCGATGATCTCAGAGGTCTTTTCCGACTTCAGTGATTCTGTGATTCTGCGATTTCGGGCATGGCTTCGGAGCGCTGCCACACACCTTAGCGCCCGGCTGCTTGCACCGACGCACCGCGACTTCGCCGCCCATCGCGCCCCAGCCTCGCCACTTCCCTCGGCGGCTCCCGGCGCAGCCCCGCCCGCAGCCCCCCCTCCCTGTGGGGATGGAGGTGGTGATTCCCGAGGAAGGAGCGTGCGGCTGCCACCGCCCCAGCAGAGGGCGCGGCGGCTCCGGCAGGGCGGGGTTTGCCGTCTCCTCCTCCTCCTCCTCCTCCTCCTCCTCCTCCTCCTTTTCCCCTCCCTCTGGTTATGGCGTTCACGGCCCTGACCTTCGTTCGGAGGCTGTGCTGGCGGTCGCCGTGCGGGATAAGGTGAGTCCCGATGGCTCCAGGGGTGCCCCGCGGACCCCTCGCGGGGGTGGCGCGGCCGCGGCGGGCAGCGCTGGGGCCGGGGGTGTCCGTACCGTGGGACTGGGCAGCCCCGTCTCCCCGCCGCCGGGGATCGGCGGGGAGACCTGGTGCTGCCCTGCCTGTGCCGCTGGATCAGCCGGGTTAACGTTCCCTGGATGGCCCCTGCCTTAGTGCGCCTGGCCAGACGTCGCTTTCATCCTAAAAACTGGGGAGATAGCTTTCTGCCTCAGCTGGGGGCACCTCCAGCCGTACCAGCCAGCTGTAACACTCTGTGTAACTTTCTCCTGTGGACAGGAATGTCTACTCTTGCTGCCGGCTGATCTTGGTTAATCACATTCCTGACCAAATTTACAGTTCCTAAACACTGGGGAAAATTGTAACTCAATTCCTTCCTTCAACTATAATTTAAGGAATGTTAAGGACATTATTTTTAGAAAGTGGTCAAAAATTAGATAGGCAAGCACAAAAATAATTCATGAAGAAAATTATGTTAACGTGTTTTTACATATTTTCAAGTTTACCTTATTAAGAAAAAAAAACCCTCAAAAAAACAAAACGCCAAGCTCCAAAACTTTATTATTAGGCACACTGTTAAAACAATAAAGGAATGGATGAGGGGCAATGTTTCTTGTTTTCCTAAGCTTATTCAGTTACAGAAATCTTCCAGTCTCTGAGATTTTTATTTTTTTTTTAATCTCAGAGTAGTTTACTGAACTATTACACTTTTTATAAGTGATCTTCAAGTCTGATTCAAAAAATAATTGCAGTTCAGGTCTAGTACTTCCCATTGACATGCACCCAAGCTCTGCATGTTCCAGATATTACAACTGAGGTGGTAAAAAGTTTTCCCTCTCTGGGGGGAACAACTGAGTATTGGCATGTTGTGGTTTGTTATCCAGCACCTTTGAGTAGTGGTGTGGTGGCTTGTGTGCCAGCACCTTTGAAGAGTTTGTTTTGGGAATTGCAAACTTATTGCTGTGTACTGTATGAAATTAAGGGCTTGTTAGCCATTGCTCTTGTGGAAGTGTGCTGTAAGAATTTAAGGGCTTATTGGCCAATACCTTTTCAGTCTAAATAGTGGGCTAGTTGCCAGAGTTATGGCGACTGTACAATAAGTTCCCAGACATGTGTCCAGTGTCTTTGCTCAGCCTGACAAGGACTTATAATGAACATCATGCCCCTGACCACTGGGTCGGGACAGCTGCCCCTGTCAGCAGCAACATGGCAGCAGAGGCCCATCCTCTGACGTGGTGACAGTGACCGAGACTCCCTGTTTGTCCTCCAGTCTCTCTAGAACCCCTGAGGTTTCCCTCTGGTCCCCTTAACACCACAGTACTCTGCTTGGAAACCCTTCCAAAACCATTATGGTGAGGGGAGGTGGTGATGCAGCAACAGCAGATGCCTTGTCAGGTGCCTGGACACCCATGGGAATGCAGAGCTGGGCCGCTCTTTCTGTGCCCTGTCCTCGCTGCATGGTGGGGGTACTGCCCTGAGGAGAGACAAATGAGGCTTCTCCTGGGAAAAGCCTCAGCAAGGGGTCAACTTCTCAAAAAAGCCTGGGCCTGTGGGTGTGCTGAGGGGAAGTTGTCCTGCAGGCAGTGGTACAGGCCAAGCGGGATGCAGTCTGCTCAGGATGCTGCGCATCTGAAGGACACCATGGGTTTGGACCTATTGTTTCAGATTTATTAAATCACAGCTGTCCTCCAGCTGGCTCAGTGATGCCAGAAGAGCAATGTACATAGATTGAATCTTGGTTTTTAGGGATTTAAAGCCCTCAGGATCAAGATGGTCTGAGTTGCCAGGCAAGAGACGATTTCATTGCTGTCTGTCTGCAAGGGCTGAAGGGCTGTGACCAAAAGAGACAGAGCTGAGATGAACCTCTGTGTCTGCAGAGACCCCCAGACATCCCCTCCAGCCCATGTTCCCCACTCACTGCTGCAGATCTCATCCACATAGGCATGCTTTGGTCCCTCAGGTGCTGCGTGGCCACCCCTAGGCACAAAGCTCTGTCAGCCCCTGTTCCCCCATGTGCTCCCAGCAGCACAGCCCCTGGCCCTGCCCTCCTCCCCCTCAGCAGGGATGACCCCAGGAACCACCAGTAGCTCTGTGTGGGCAGAGGTGGCAGAGGGAGGCTGAGGCCCAGCATGCAGCAGCTGGGGCTCAGGTAGCCCCAGGGCTGCACCTCCCTGTCAGTGCAGGAGCAGGGATGGGGGCCAGGTTGCCCAAAGAGGGACCCCAGGGGCTGGGGCTTACCAATGAACCTGATGGCCACCTCTTGCAGGGCGGCCTCAGGGTCCTCAAGGTACGTCAGGCACTTTTCAGCCCTGCTCCTGTCCTTCCCTAGCTGGAGAGAGCACAAGGACTTGGGCATGTCACAGAGCCCTCAGCTGGCTGCAGCAGTCCCTCCTGCCAGCACTCACTGTTGCCGAGAGCCCTCTCTCCCACTGGGTGCAGGGAAGGGAGAGGGGCCTGGAGATGAGCCCTTGGGGCTCTGTTCTTGGAGGACATAAACTGGGGTGCAGCTCCAGGCTGTGGGCTCTGGGCTGCAGCAGGGCAGGTAAGGCCCAGCTGCAGAGCCCACACCCCGGGCTTTGGGTGCAGGAAAACCCTCACCCAGCCTGCTCCCTGGCACTTTTCCTTACCAAGCACTCACCAATCCTCCATGTCTGTTGTGTCTGCACCAGGTCTTTGAGCTCCCTCCACCTCAGGAGCTCTGCAGCAGCAATGAGTCCTTCTTTGGCAGCCTGCATAGCATCAGAAGCTGTGAGATACCACCATGGCTGGCAAAGGAAACCTCTTGCCTTTGTCCCTGGGGTGGTCCTGCCCTTAGGAAGCTGGGGCATGCCCTTGACAAAGCATCTGGGTGTCTCTTGGGAACAACCCCGAAGGACAGTGACTGAGGCTCTCAGCCCTGGCTCTCGAGGTGGCCCAGAAGCCACATATCAGGGACAGCAGGGAAGCCTGTGGGGATATGCCTGTTCAGGCTTTGGTGGTCACAGGCTGCTGACAAGACCTACTGGAGCCGTAGGGCAGGTGTTGGAAATGGCTGTGCCAGCTTCTCCATCCCTGCTCACGCTGGTTCTGTGGGGACCTTTCCCACAGGTTATGCTGGGGAAGGGCTGCCCACTGCCAGCAGCCCTTGCCCTGCTGCCTGGGCCCCACGGGGAGGGTCAGCCCACCCCTCTCTGTGACAGTGCTCAGCCTTGAAATCTGTATCTTGGCCACCCTGGGGGGCTGGCTGCTCATGGGAAAGAGCAGCGGGACCAGTGCACTCCATATACAGTTCTTCCATCTCTTCTTGTTCCTCACCACCGCTGACCCCACGTGGTCTCTGAAGAGGCAGATTGAGAACTCTCGGATCTCACTGCTCTCCTGGCAGGAAGGAGGAAAGGTGAACTTCAGAAACAGTAGCCACTTGCCCACAGTGAAGGGGGGTTGTGATCCTGGCTGAGGGAGATGCCGACAGTCAGATTCCAGAGCAGGGAGAAGTAGCACTGGGCTGCAAGGCCCAGAAGCCACAAGAGCCCAGGGAAGTAGAGCCTGCTCTGAGTGCCCCTCACAGGGCTGGGCTGCAGGGCAGCTGTCATTGTGCAGTGCCCATCTCAGGTCCCACACTCCCACATCAGCCTTACCATGTCAAAGAAGCACGGGAGGTTCTCCACCAGATACTCATCGGTGGGGCTGGCCTTTTAATTCTTCAGGTTTTGATGTATCACATTTTTAATGATCATCGTGATGTTTTCCTTGAGATCTTCAGTGCCAAGCCACAGGAGCTCCATCATGTTAGCATGAGGAGCTCCGTTTTTCCTGCTTGTATGGCAGACAGAGTTTCTTTTTTGAGATGAGATTCATGCCTGGAAAGCTCCCCAGGCAGCCACCAGGCCCCAACATGGCAGCAAGGGTGTTTGGAGCAGTCACCCCACCACTTGACTCCCAGCCCACACCAAACCACCGCCTTACCCCCAGCCCCAGACCCCTGGATGCCAACATGGCTGTCCCTGATGCCACCCTGCTTACCAGGGCAGGTGTCTCTAACAGCATGAGGAGGCCTTCGAGCACCTGGGAGGCTGGCAGTGTTGGAAGCTCCTCATCAATGTTGAAGTCGTCATCCAAATCATCCAGCTGAAACTGTGTGCTACTGTCACTGGGGAATGGCCATAGAAGCAAGCACAGTAGTAAGATACTGGCAGAGTCTGCAGGGCTCGTGGCAGGGGGTCAGGTGCTTTTCTTCACAGCCAAGTCAGAGATGGAGCTGCTTTCTGAAGAAGAGGAGCTGGGACTACTGGGCAACCAGTTGACCTAGAATAAGACAAAGAATGCCCATAATATCCTGCGTGTCATCTTGGGCTCAGAGAAGATCTGTGCTACAGTTGCATGGCCACTGCAAGGCAGAGCACTGTCAGCAGGGCTGCCTTGACCACAGCATGGCCTGGGCCAGCCCCACATGGCTTGGGGTGCCTGGGGGCCCTGCCTGGGCAGGCAGGAGGGGGACTGAGGTGGTGTTTCCCATGGGGCTGGGAGCAGCATGGTGGCTCTGGGCTGGCTCAACCAGCTTTGGCTGCTGTGGGCCCGGACAACTCACCAGGGCTAGAAAGCCTGGTGGGATGGAGAACCCCGCTCCTTAGGGGTGTCCTGTAGCATTCCTTGGGTCTGGGAGCCAGAGAGTCTCAGGGTCCCTCTCTCCACAGCAAACAAGCCCTCAGGATTTTCAGGGCCAGTACCTGTCTCCTTGTGGAGCAATGCTCAACAGTGTTGTGACTACCTTCCTGGGGAAAAACTCAGCTACCAGGAGAAGCAGGGAGTCAAAGCAGTGCTGCTTTGGTCCTTCCTTGATGCTTTGCAGGCTTTCATGCATGAAGCTCACAATCTTTGGCACGTGGAGGGGACACAGGTGAGGATAGTGCTGCCACTGGAGTGCAGCCTCAGCTGCCCTTTCCATACCTCTCTTCTGCCTTAAAGTGCCTTCAGGTGCCTGAGACACCTGGGTTTGGGAGGGAGGAACAAGGCCTTAAAGGGCTGAAGGACAGGGCAATCCAGCCACAGGCCACGTACATCTGTTAGCAAGAGGTGTGGGTTATATGTGGCCACCCACAAAAAGTGTTTTGTAGTATTCCAGAGGCCTGTGTGGTTTTCTTCATCTCCTCCATGGCTGCAAGGATGATGTGTGTCCTCTCAGAGCACGTGAGGTACCTTTCAAAGGACTGTGGCAGGAAGAAAGAGAGCAAAGATGTCGTACAAGCTATCTAATGGTGCTGCTTAGCTGGGCATTGAGAGCAGCCCAGGCCAGAGGTGCCCAGCAGTGCCAACAGTTGCTGTGTGGGGGAGGATGAGAGCAGAGGGTCCTCAGGCTGAGGGAGGAGAGCTGGGCTCATGGTCATGGGGTGCTGGCCCTGCAGAGGACCAGGGCTCACTGGTGGGGAGGAGAGCTGGAGCTGCTGCTTGGGACACCAGAGTGCTGCCCTCAGATAGTCCCTGCTTGGGGACAGCAGGAACCCTCTCATCAGGGACAGTGAGGCCATGTCAGCTCCACTTAATCTGGGTCCCTTTGCTCACATGAGTGCCCTGCCGAAGGCATGGACAAGAGTCTCAGCAAGGGGGAGCTTATTATCTTGGTATGGTACTTTTTGGAAGTCGGCAGCAAGGAGCTGATTTCACCTTCTGCATGGTGTGCACAGCATTTACCCCTTAGCCTTGTCCTGCCTAAAGAGCAGGGCAGAAATGGAAGTCAGTAAGACAGAGCAGCTTTGCCATTGGGCTTTCCAAACCACCCTGAGATCTGCCTGCAAGATGGCAGGACAGGAGATTGTGGAGGGTGTCAGATTGGGATCCACAAACTGGCAGGATTGAAGATGGTGAAAGGAGCAGGGAAGAAGAGCAGCAGAGAACAGATCCAAGACATGAGGAGAGCACTCAGCTTCTACAGCGAAAGAGGGCTAGGATGCTACGGGAAGCAGCCAGAGGGGCAAAGGTGGTCAAGCAGAGAAACAGAGCTGTGAGGTGATGTCTGTGTGCGGAGGGATGAAGGCCACCACAATGTCCCTTAATTTTTTGCTTACAGATGAATTCACTGAGGTGAATAGTCTTCTTAGCTATAGTTCTCATTTCTAAGGGTATTTGTCAAAGGAGGATATGTGCCAGCAGATGTTTGAGGAATGAGATCTCGATGTCATCACAGTGGAGTTCTCTTTTTTAAGGCGGTCCTGTATGAGGGAGGAAGAAGAGCAGCAGGGCTGAGGGCAGGCAGCTGGTGCCAAAGCCTCATATCCGAGAGTGTGCTCAGGGCTGGATCCCTGGTGAGTCCCGGCTTTCCAGGGCCCTGTGGCCCCGACTCCTGGAGCAGTCAGCTGGGCAGCAGCCCTGGCAGGGAGAGCGGCAGGGAGAGGGGCACGGTGTGGCTGGAGGGTTCCTAGGCCTTATTTGCCATTTGGAATAGCTGTCCATCCATTCGCTCAATGTGCAAATCTTCTCCATGGCTGCAACCTGCACCTCAGTTCTCTCATACCTTGGAAAGTCCAGCAGCACCTGAGCAAAGAGAAGCTGCTGGTGAGCCCCAGGAGCAGGCATTCACTCCAGTAGCAACAGCGCAGCTCCGCTCCTGGACAGGACTTTCACTGTCCCTCAAGGCTTCCTCTGACCTTGAGCAAAGGCTGTAGGGAGGCTCCTGCCCCTGGGGTCCCTTGCAGGCCTGGGACATAGGCCCTGGGCCAAGCTTTTGGCCAGGTGGGAAGGCAGGTGCCACTCTCTGTGCTCCAGAAGAGCCTGGTCACACAGGAGGTGGGCACTGTCCCCGCAGCATGCTCTGCCTCCATGGCACTTGTCTGAGGACCACCCACCCACCCAGGAGTGGGCAACCCCTCCCCTACAGGGTGAGGAACAGCCCTGGGACTCCCACTCTTTGTGCAGGCCAGACCTGCAAGATGTTCTGCAGCTCCTCACCAATTCTGGAGGGAGGAGTGTTCCACACTATTGCCTTCAGGAGGGAGTCCATGGCTTCCAGGGTCTGCAAGGAGGACAGAGAGCAGTGGCAGTGATTCTTCACCCCCAGGAGGCTGATCTGAGCTCCCAGTGCCAGGGAAGGAGATGTGCCCGTGCTGCCCAGGAGACACCTAGGAGCAGGCAGTCTACTGCAGGTAGAGCAGCCTGCAGCACTGGATGTGTCTGGGCCCTGGGAAAGGGATGACAGAATGAGGGCAGGAAAGCAAAGCTGAGACCCTGCCCTGCCTGGTCATGGGGCAGTGCAGAATGGCCAGAGAGCAGCCCAGAGGGACTGGTGGCTCCTGCAGCTCACCCAGCACTTACCTCCTCCTGGGCTTCTGTGTCCCCCTTACTGATATGTTTTCTTTAGGAAGGAAGAGAACAGCTCTGAAGCAGGCTTCTAGGAGTCTTCTCTTTTTGCCCTCCAGCACCTTTTCCACTGGGCTGCAAAGAGAAAGGGCCCAACTGGACAATGGTGCCGGGGGAAGTGCCTTGAGGTCTTGTGCAGGGGGATGCAGTCCTCTGGGGAAGGGCTTCCTGGGAGTGATGGGCGTGTCCCTAATCCTTCAATAGCTAACAGGGTGAGCTTCTGCACCTCTGTGTGCATCTTCTCACGGGACTGGGCATCCAGCAGCATCTGCAGAGCGCAAATGAGCTGGGACCTGGCAGCTGCCAGCGCCCGGGGTGCCACCAGACCCCAGCCCTGCCCAAGTGCTGCCCTCGTAGGGCAGCATAGTGCCAGGGGGCCTTGCCCCCTTCCCCAGAGCTCTGAGTGTCCCCTCACCTGGATCCTCTCTACCATCTCATATCTGCAGCAGAAGTGGACAAAGCAC